GGGGGGGGGTCTAAAAGTAGCTCGATCAAGCCCGGTTATCCTGCGAACAGACAGCGCAGCAGCCCGAGAGGGGATATGTGTAACCTTATCCTCGTGTTCATTAATAAAAAACGGAGTTATTATGTTGATTGGGTTTCCAGTGGGGAGCACGAGCTCAGCAGATGTAATCTCGAGAAGAAGAAGAAGAAGAAGAAGAAGAAGAAGAAGAAGAAGAAGGGGGGGAAAAGGTCTGTGGTTACATTATTGGAGCAGCCAGTGGTACATATAGGTAGGCATTTCTCCATAGCTAGCAAAGTGGAAGCCGTCCAGTGTGCATCTGTGTGGCTGTTTTTAAGGAAACTTTACGCACATAAATTGCTCAATAAACTCTCTCCTCCGGCTGTTTGTCTGCATTTGTTCGTCCAAGCTTGGACCCTCCTCCTTCTCCACCTCCTCCTCTGTGAGAAAAGAGACAGAAACACTCCAGACAGTTTTTGTTGTATTGTTGTTTTGTTGGAGGGAAAAAACTTTGATGAACTCATTAAGACTTTATAGGAAACCCGAGACCTAAACGCCTAGCTCGGTCGGCCAACACACACTGTTGGGTTTTTTGTTTTTTTTTTGGCGGTGTGTGCTCGTGTTGAAAAAACCCAAAAGCTCACAATAATTATGGATTCAAACAAAGTGGGAGGAAACTGGCTCATTTGCGATGTGAAAATATGTGGTTCAAGAAGTAATCTCAGATTAATAGATGGTTTAATGACGTTTTTTTTTTTTGATGAACCATTCTTGTAACTAAACAACATCCAACTTAACTTTATAGATGTCTTGTATGACTATGCCCTGGAAAAGACAATGTCTGTCCTATTTATCTATCTATCTATCTATCTATCTATCTATCTATCTATCTATCTATCTATCTATCTATCTATCTATCTATCATGGGGAGGAAGGAAAAACAGGAGAGAAAGGTGGAGAAAGGGTGGAAGAAAACGAGCTCAGACTATTTGACGGTCTCATATGCCATCTAGTGTACAAAGCTGGGCACAGCAGCGCTGTCAGTGTGCAGCCGCAGGTCTGTTGGTCATTCATGGGTTAAAATGAGGATTTCTTCGCTAAGCTTACAAGAACCTAAGCACATCAGTAAGGATTTCACCATGCTGTATGTTGCTGTTGTATCCTCTAAAGTGCCCACTGCTGCACGCAGTGTGGGAGGGAGTTAACAGCTCTTTTGGGTAGCATAAATCACTCAGCAGGTATTTGAATGCTGGGCTTTCTGTGGCAGTGGCTGGGGTTGGCCTGGCGGCCAGGTATAATCCTCAGTGATGCTCATGTATTAGTAAAACGTACTCTGATGCTGCATCAGATTGAAAACAGATCTCAGTTAGCAAGCTTCCACATGTGTCAGCCATTACTGCAGACAACACAATTAAGTCTAAATGCCTGTTTGTTTTTTTCTTTAAGTGCTGCATTGTAGTGCACAAGGGGTCCTAGGGTAGCCATTTTGATAATATTTGCTGTACTTTTCCTGCTCTCAAACGGAACATTTGGCTTTGTGTGTTATACTTATTGAGCGTGATAAAACATGTTGCCAGGTAAACCGTATTCTTGAGGAATTTAACAAAGATGGGTGCCTATGAGGGAGCAGAGACAGAGGCAGAGAACAAATGTTGCCATGGGGTCGCACATTTCCATTCAAATGTGGTAACCACACTTCAGATCTCCTCTCTTGATGTGTTTTTTTTCCCGATGCAGTGGTATATAAGATATCACGCCTGCCGTTAGTAAAGATGAACCCATAAAGTGTGCAGACATGTGCGTGGAGGCTGGGAACGTTACTGTAGTGTGTAATAACACTAGCCACGCTAGTCCTTTCATGCTTTAGGGAAACTTTTCAGCGTCTGTCAGAGGAGGCATTTATCACTTTAATCCCCACCTGGCACAAAGAATAACTGCAAGGGTAAGTTACATATCCCTGCCATACAGCCGTGCTCTCAAAGCAGATGAACAGGTGGTCATCTGGAGCTAAACAGAAGACAGAGTCCATACACTCACCTGCTGCTATTGTTCGGGGTGTTTCACGCTCTAGGCGTGCTGTCATGAATAAAGGCATGTTTGAGCAGCAGTTATTGTGGGCTTTATTTTCCCTCGTTCATGTTATTAGCTCAGTTCTCCGCATGTCATGTTTAGATGGCTGTGCATTCTTTAAACAGTCAGCTCAGAGGAAACTGCACCTTTCTCAAGCACAAGTTGCCACAAAGCTGAGAACTAGAAGCTCCAAAGGAGTGTGTGTGTGTGTGTGTGGGGGGGGGGTCTTATTCTTCCATATGTAATCCATCCCTTGCTTTATTATTCATTGCTCATCCTGTTAATGCTCGGGCTGCTTTTTTATTAACTGTGAAATCCGCATAAAATCTTCAGACACTGGATGTTGTCACATTTAGCCTCTCACAGATATAAGCCAGAGATCCTCCGCCGGTCCCACAGCAATTAAATGATTCATTGGCTTTATCGCATTTTAACAGGATGTTGATTGAGAGCATAAGCCATATTGATTGTACTGATGGAAACAGGAAATCAGCGAGATAGAAATAAAATCATCTGTTGTTCCCGGTGTGACGATACACGGGGGAATGGCTCTGCAATTGCACACTGTTGAGTGGCATTACCCCCAGCAACCTCTCCCCCCCTCTCCTCCACCCCACCCCTTCTCTCCATTCTCTCCCCTATGGAGACCTGGAAGAGACGTCATCTGTGGTTGTTATGCTGCGAAATGACGCTGGCACTCTCTCCACCCCCTGCTACTGCAATATTACCCCTGTGGTCTGTTACGGAAGATGCAGCACTCTTCGTCTGCACCATTTCCAGCATGAAGTTTGACGCCTAACAGTAATCAGCCCTCTGCCTTCATTTCCCTCTTGTGGAAGTGGAACCATTTGAGCGCGATGCTGATAATAATATCAGCCTAAATGCATCCTACACATAAAGCTCGTGACTGGCCTCGATCCCGTAAAAACCTACACGATTCTCAGTGCTGGGAAGCCTCGCAGATATCATTTCAGATATCATTTCAGATATCATTAACCACAACCTTCACAAAACTGAAGGGTTAATGAGCCATAAATGGAATTTTGTTAACAATATCCGAGTTGACAATTAGCTCTTTATTCTTGGCTTTGTCCCCATTGTAGTTGGTAAGAGGAAAAATACCCACCCCACCACCAGCACCACCATCACCACCTCACTGCAAAACACATACAAGCCAGCCCCTCCCCATGCCCTCCCTCTAACACGCACACTCACACACTCCGGAGGAGCACGTCACTGAGCTCAGGGAATGAGTGGCTCATTAAGAAGAAGGATGTGATATTCTGAATAGAGACTGTGAGACTCCCAGCACGTCTATTTTTAGACGAGATATCTCTATGGCAGTCACCGTGGTGTCGGTTAATTGCAGCCACAGCCCCAGATACCAATTAAGAATGAAACAAATGCTTTTAAGGTGGGGTTTTGCTCCTCCTTATACTGTAAAGGTCCTTGTGTCCATTCTGTGAGTGGAGGCTGGAGCAGGGGCTCGCTCTCGCCGTGTTTTCCTGTGTCAGGCTCGGACATGCAGAGTGCAGTCAAAGCCTCGGCCGGGCTATTTTTAAATTAGCCCCTGTGGTAAGCAAGATCTAGATTTTTTTTTCTTTTTTTAAAAAATTATGGGTGTTTTAAGATCTATGTCCTTTGGATGCATTGATTTGCTGTGAATCTTAGAGCTTCTCAGAGGTAAGGGACGCACACATGCTCAGGTAATTTTACAATATATATGTACAGTGTTTCAGTTTGGTTTTGCGTGTGCTTTGAGTTGTTCTCCAGAGCCTCGATAGCAGTGCTTTGCACGGCAGGATGTCAAATCATTCTGTCATTCAATTTCCTGTTAATTCATCCTGCAGTGCTCTCGCCTTCCACCTGCCGAAAACAAACAGTGTCCCTCAACAAACCCATAGTTCCCATTCATGACTACAAGGTGTAGTACTGACCAGTTTTTTTTTTGTTTTCTCTTTTTAATAAAGTAATACTGGAGCATCAGTGTTTGCCAGCGCTGACACAAACACACTGACTCTGTTAGGTAGTGCTGTCCACACCGGAGGTTCCTGAAGTGTTAATACCGGTGATTTGTTTGTACGGTAACGTCACGGTCGCGTATTCGTAACGCGGGTTGGGGGGGCGGGCATAAATCCATCCACAAGAATTCAACAACTACAGGATGAAGTGCAAGAATGAAAATCCTCAATTTCCTTACCCAAAAGCAGGGGGCACCTGTGAGCTTTTAGTACAGCCAAATAAAAAGAAAGAAAGAAAAAGAGCCAATTATTCCAACAGAAAGCCATGATTGGACTTTTAACAGACCAGTCAAAAAGCTGTTAGGATGTTTCCACATCTATTTGTGTAATCTTATCTTTTGTAATAAGCAGCCGCTTTGATGCTCAGCACAGCTTTTGTGCATTGCTGCCAACAAATAGAGATCTAAGCCAGACCTCACATAGGAACAGAATGATTACAGTTTGCAAACAATTTGAAAACACCGATGACACAGTGCCAATATCAGTTTAATAAAAACATGTTGTGATTATTCCGAAGCTACTGGCTCCAGTTTTTTGGCTTGCAAAACAAAGAGTGGAGGGTGGAAATAGGAGGAGAGGCTTACATGGTGCATTATGGATCAAAAATAAGCTAACTTTGTTGAAGATGCTCTTTGACTGACCATCTCGTTCTCTCGCCCTCCCCCAACCCTCCTCTCTCCTCTTGTTTTCTTTCTGTGTCTCTCTCACGTCCCTCCAGTTCCACCAGGTTAGAAGAGTGATGACCATCCTGTTCCTTACTATGGTTATTTCATACTTCAGTTGCATGAGAGCTGCGCCCCTGAGAGATGCCCCGGGCATGCGGGGCCATCGGACGGAAGGCTACTTGGGCGCTGCTGCAACGGCCGAAAGAGGCCACGGGACTCCCCAGAGCGGTGGAGGCCCAGGCCAGCGTGGGGAACTGCCCTCGCTCACAGACACGTTTGAGCAAGTGATAGAGGAGTTGCTGGAGGTGGAGGGCGAGGTGGCGCAGCTGGGACAGGGGGCCGATAAGAGCCAGGGAGGTGGTGGCCCATCCTCTGTGGTCACCACGGAGGCCAAGGATGTCGATCTGTACAACTCACGGGTGATGATCAGCAACCAAGTGCCTTTGGAGCCGCCGTTGCTCTTTCTCCTGGAGGAATACAAAAACTATCTGGATGCCGCTAATATGTCCATGAGGGTGCGGCGACACTCCGATCCCTCACGACGTGGAGAGCTCAGTGTGTGTGACAGTATTAGCCAGTGGGTGACAGCTGTGGATAAAAAGACTGCAATAGACATGTCCGGGCAGCAAGTTACCGTCATGGAAAAGGTCCCTGTCCCCAATGGCCAACTGAAGCAATACTTTTATGAGACCAAATGCAACCCCATGGGGTACACAAAGGAGGGCTGCAGAGGAATAGACAAGCGGCATTATAATTCCCAATGCAGGACAACCCAGTCCTATGTGCGAGCGCTTACCATGGATAGCAAAAAGAAGATTGGCTGGCGGTTTATAAGGATAGACACTTCATGTGTATGCACATTGACCATTAAAAGAGGGAGATAGTGTATAAAATGTATAGATTTTATTGAAGAGTTTAAAAAAGAGAATAAAGAGAAAATATCTATTTGTATATATACATAACAGGGTAAATTATTCCGTCAAATGAAAATTTTATGGACTGCATGTAAAAAAAGATGAAGTTTATACAGTAAAAGTGATACTACAGTCTATTTATTGAACATATTCATGACCTTGTAAACAATTAAAAAAAATCTGATCAGTCATTTGCGCCCAGTTTAAATTACTATATCACATTCCTCAAGACATTGTGATTTGTTTACGTTGCCAAGAATTAGAAAAGGAAGGAAAAAAAATTAACAGGCAAGAAATGAGCGACAAAGAGGGAGACAAAGAGGGAGACAAAGAGGGAGACAGAGAGGGAGACAAAGAGGGAGACAGAGAGAGAGCGAGGACAGTTCCATCTTCAAAAGCTTGCATGCTGCTTCAATTGTAAATCGATAAATTCTCCACTTACAGAAAAAAAAGGATATGATGCTGACCAAAAAAAATTATTAAAAAAAACATTCCGTTTACATATTCAGCAGAAAACAATTTCCTCTCAAGTAATTTATCTGTTTACTGTTCTAAACTTCTCAAGGTAATGTTGGAATTACATACTATGTCAAGGTGCTGTTGTCAAAGCTTTGCTGTTTATTTTTTTATCCCCACCAGAGGACAAGATATATATATAAAAAATTATATAAATATATATATATATATATAAAATTTATTCATTGACATGTTTCTGGGTTAATATTATTCATTTTGTATGTTGTGAAGTTGTTTGCAATATTAAACTGAAATATTTGAAGAAATAAAAATGACTATAGGCAACTGAAAAACAAAATCAATGTCGATAAAGTTTCAACGGTGCATTTTTAGGCAGAGTAAACTTTATTATACGGACAGTCTGCAGGCAAGGAGGGAGGAGGCACATATGCACACATGCATGCGCACAAACCGCCACACGTCCGAAGCATGAAAGAGCAGAAATTCAAATCCTGAGCAACAAGAAGTGATGTTTTAAGAGAAGAAAACGAGACCTTGCTTTGGGTCACTCAAAGATAACGAGTGTTAGAGTACAGAAAGCAGCTCCTGGTGTCATTCAGCTACTTCAGGAAGGAAAAGAAACTGGAGAAGGAGAGAGGAGGTGCCCCTAAACCGCTTCCTGCTCTCCACCAGCACATTTTTTCAAAACACGTTTATGTGCTTTGGATCTTTAGTGTTCATACACAGGTGTTCAGAGCTTTTGCTCCAGCGGCATGTGTGATGTCGCACAATTACGAGACCCTATTAACACAAGAAAAGCGCCTACACGTTCAAGTGCAGACTAGTACAAGTGGGTACACTGCCTGAGCTTGACAGTGATGGATTCAACCACCCATACATTTGTGTACATTAAAAACGTACACCCAGTGTTTTGTTATTAGTGTGCTGTAATCCCAGCTTTAACTCCTCCACAATAGGACAATCACCACTGATTTTTTCTAGCTCTAAAGTCACTGTGATCAGAAGGAGAAGCCGATCTCCATAACTGGTTTGGCACCTGGGTTAAAAGAATCAACTTTCTCCCTCAGGCAGCTAATAACTCATTGCAATGCATGCCTGCCAAGTCTGGATTCCATAGCTTAAGGTTTTAGTGGGAATACAATAAAATATGTTCAGCGTCTCATCTTCGTTACATGAAACATTTCTAGAACATACTGCAAAAAGATTAAAAACAACAAGAAAATGAATATACAAAATTTCTTCAAAACACCAGCGATCCCTTATGAATGAACACAATCACCTCATTTTACCACGCCTCCATCAGCCTGAAGGTAAGTGCGAAGACAGCCAGATCTGAAGATGTTGAAGGAAGGATGGGCCAGCTTCTTCACTGCCCTGCTTGGACCCTTCACAGAAGGCTGATGATGATGCTGTGAGTTAATATCATAAATTTAAAAAAAGATACAGAGGCTTCTGCAACACAAACAGTGGGAAGACGAACAATATCATAAATATAATCTGGTCTTCCAGAAAAATCCACCTGAATGACACTATCCCGTCCTCAGCACATAGGACAATGAATCAGCCATTCAACATTTTAGATAAGATGATAAGGATGTGTTTTGTTTATCATGAGCATGAGCCTTAGGCTATTATTTTTTACAAAGATCAAAAAAGTAATCTGCCAATTAAACATTTAATAAAAGAGTGCATAAAGGGAGGCAGGGTGAAGCCCATGGTGTTTTTCGGTGTGACCATAAATCAGGCATATGAGTGAATCCTACAGTATAATGTGGTATTACTTTGCTGTTTCTGAGGAAATAAAAACAAGAAGAAAAAATATTTTAGGAAAACAATGGGTCTACTGTGTTAAGAAAAGAACAAAAGCTGCTGCTCACCAAGTCTTTCCGTGTGTCTGCTTTATGCCACGCCCACATTTGTGATGTCACGTTAGGTATTTTTCATCACCTGTCAAAAGATTTGCGTTCATCGCCCACTGGGGTGTGGTCAGGAGTGAATCATGCTCGAAACTTTCAGGATACAGAGAAGCAGTGCAGCTGCAGTTTTCTGCATTTATGGAGGCTCAAAATGTGATGCAGCTCACCAGTAGGGGGTGGCAGAGAGAGCGCTCATATCAGACGTCAACAAAAAGCCAAATAAAGTTTCCTCTGGCTGGCCCTTGTTATGACAGTACATATTAATGTAATCGTCCTTTGAGCTATGTCTGTGGAGGCTGAGAGAAGCTGTTAAATGGAGAGTTCTCCGCCCCTCAGGTTGGTAAATGGTGATATGGAATCTAGGTTTGGATTCTAGCCAACGAGACCTTCAGTGGGCTATATGCATGGCACAAAAATATGCCTACTCTCATTGTCAGCATCAGCAGTAAACATAATAAAATCAAACCTCTGTGCTTAAAACTAAATATGGCATTACTAATATACAACATTTGAAGCTGCTATCTAAGGTGTACGTTTGGACGAATTAAAGAAAGGACATTTGTACACTAAAGCGAGGTGGAATATTGGTAAAGCTATGTGTCTTATGTATGTATGAGATATCATAGTTTTACACGAGTAGTCGTCTAGTAAAAGGATAGGGTAACAAATACACACGCAGTGACTTTAGAATGTGACTGAACATTCCGAGTTCACAGTTTTACGAGGTTTCCCTGAATGCATCACGACACTGGCAGCTAGCCTAGCCGGCTAACTTGGCTAATCTGATTTATCGTCTCAGTTAAGCGCACATAACGCCAGCCAGGATTACCAAATTTAGTTTTCAGTATTTTTCCTTTTAGCTAACTATCTCCCTAACGCCAAACATCCTCCTATTTCAATAATGGCATCGCTTGGGGAGCCCGTGCGATTGGAAAGAGGTGAAGTTAATTAGCTAGCTAGCTTTAGCTTAAAAATATTTGTTGTGATATGCGGGCGACATAAGCCTAGCCTAGCTAGCATTAGCTCATTAAAGCAAGCGGTTTATTTTTTTGTCTGTGTACTCTGTTTTATGGTGGGATAACGATAGAATAGACATCTTGCGGTTAATTCTTGTGTGATTATGTATATATAGTCACCCAGCTAAAGCAGCCACAGCTATTACGGCAACATTTTTGTACTTAGTACATTAGCCACCTAGCTAATATTAATGACAACAGACAGTGATTATCTGGCTGGTTTGTTCACTGTATCTTACCATAAAAGAAAGAAGATTTTACAGTTACGCTGGTTGTATCATTATATTCATTTTTGTGACCTGTCTGTAAATAACAAGTTCTGGGTGTGTGTTGCTGAAATGTGCAGAGGAAGCCCAGATTTGTGTGATAGTTTAAACTTACGGGTTACACAAATACACACGTAAAACTTCACGATTAGAAATATTTAATAAACTTACAAATGCTTATGAATTCGTTGCTATTAAAGCAAGCTGTACATTCACAAAAACAAAATAAACAAAACAAAAACGTGATGCCTGGTGCCTTGAATTTACTTCATGTTACTCTGAGAGTTGCTTTATTATTGCATTATAGCGATTTGTACTAATTGTAGTATGTTCTGGTGACCGTGGGAGTCAAGCTTGTCCGGAGCATATCTATAATCAGAACAAATGTAGTGCAAGTAAATGTGCTCTGACACTGATGTGGGAAACTCTCACTGCCAATGCTAAAATCTACATTTGCAGGCCTCAGTAATGGTTATGTACATGTTCTTGTTGACAGATATCAACCGTGCTATTGAATTGCTTGATAAACTCCAGAGGACAGGGGAAGTGCCTCCCCAGAAGCTGCAGGCACTGCAGAGGGTCCTACAGAGTGAATTCTGTAATGCTGTCAGAGAAGTGAGTCTCTTTCGTCTTGTATCATTCACTTATCAAACACTTAATTAAGAGACATTAGTTCACAGTTTGGAGCTTAACCCTCTGCATCCCAATAGGATTCCCAATAGAATGCTCCAGAATTAAGAAAGAGAGTGGAAGTCTGGTAAAAAAGTTAGTTTAAATTTAATGTCCAGCTATATATGACCATTTAAGATTTGTACATTTATGTTTTCAACATCTCTTTATCATTACTTCTTTGTCCTCCTCTTCTTCATCTGGCACATCCACCCCTCCTCTCTGCTCCCTAACCTCCAACTCATTCTCGTTTTCCTCACCTCACGCCTCATCCCCGCAACTGAAATTGAGACTCTAACATAATAAAACATGCATAAACATACTTATTCGTTCCCGATAATATAACTAACTAAATGACTAAAAGTGTACTGCCACTTTGGGACAGCTTATAGCCAGACGGCTATAAGAACAAAAGCTAGTGTATACCAGATAACATTAAGCTAGAGAGTCTGAACAATCACATTTCCCTTTGATAAACATTTTCACATCATATAAGTCCCCTTTTACAAAGTTTTGCAGCCTCCTCGAAATTGATGTGATCGAATGCTGTAAATAGTGGACTGACAACCGACACTGTTTACAGATGTACGTCAGCCATAGTGTGAAATAAAATGTAAAATATTGCAAAATACTTAAATTGCACAGCCATTTCTTTTTTCCCCCAGATTTATTCAAATTTTTAAAGTATACTGTGTCCAAAAGTGTTTGTGACAGTAGTAGAAATATGCTGGCTGCCCACAGCTTTTATGGGTTATAGAAGGTTAACCCTTTGGTTTGGTTTGAATTCTTTGTGTTCGCCGGTTGAAATACTGTCCACTAATATCTCCTCAGGTCTATGAGCATGTGTATGAAACGGTGGACATCAACAGCAGCCCCGAGGTCAGGGCCAATGCCACAGCAAAGGTAGACAGTTGTCAGTTACTGTCTGAATACAAGATTTGGTCTTTTT